ATCCTCACCGCTCTTGGTGCTGGGAGGCGTCGGAGGCCGTCAGCTGTCGTCTATACCTGAAATTATGCTATGAAGGACACAAACGCTATTGAAACTTATGGAAGGGCTATTGCAGTGGCAAACCTACCGCCTCGACGCTGTTAGCTGGCTGGCCCTCTCGGAGTGACTGACCTAATTGTTGAACGTATTCACAGTTGAGCTCTTTCGACACTCGCAAAGATACAGAGCATCCCAAGCAGTAGGCTTCAAGTTCATACAAGAGAAACTTGTTCGTGAGGGCGGCTGTTTATTAACATGCTGCTATGAAGATTGATGCTGTTTCATAGCATTGGTAAGTGGCAGAGAATAGAGTGAAGTCGATTTGTCACAAGGGCGGTCAACATGTCAATTCTTGGGTTGTTGAATATCTGGAAACAGCCTCTCCATCGAGTTCCGAGCAAACGCTAAGGGCAGGCAGGGGATGACAGATGGTCGGTAACTGCAGGGCAGCAAAGCATATGACATATTGCTTGCTGTTGTTCATAATGCGGAGGATTGAATTGTTGTGTCTGATTCAGCATTGCCTCACATGCAACGGTCGTCTATCTACGGAGAAAGGGCATGTATCTGGAAGCAACAAGAGGCTCACAGAGCATGGCTTGACATAGGTTGTATAAGCTGTGACGATGCTTGTATGTACAGTGCTTGCTCTACAAACGTATTGGCAGCAGTATATAAAACAAACAGGAATATTGGTGGCACCCAAGGACAACACAGGTTATGGCCAGAAGACGCCATGCGAGCTTGGCAAAAAGAAAAAGAAAAAGGAAGGTTGCGATGTCTCGACGTCCAGCCCATAACTACCATGCCGCTAAACTAAATGATGATTTAAGAAAGGGCAGAACTGACGTGGATGTGTAAGGAAGATACCAAAAAACTCACAGTTCATGGTCTCGGCCTCTTCAGCGACTCGCCGCATCGTTCCCAGGTTATGAGATAGCACGACTTGCTTAATATGCAAAGCCCTGATGTGGTAGGTTTGTATCTTCGAGCCGGGAAATCCACGATAATTATCTCATATCCTCAGCGATGAACAGACTACTGTAGGTGGAAGCGATGTGAAGTATCCTCCACGATGTATCCGGCTTCACCCTAGCTCACCACATTGCCCACCAAGGGGACCCAAGGGGTACGTGGCGAGTTCAGTTAGCTTCCTTGGTCAGAGAGCATCTTAGAGGCTGCGGCCAAGGGGCTCTCCAGACGTCGTTGAGAGTACGGCGGGGGATACAATAGTGGTCGAGCCGCCACAAACTAAGCATCACTTGCGAACTTTTCAGGTTCGACTCCGATCTCGTTCTTCTTGACTACGGTCCCCTGCGTGGGTTATCCTATGAACCCTCTCTAACTTGGTGTAAGCTTGAGGAGTCTTCTTTCCTTTAGAAGACAACTGTTGCCCCCCGGTCCCTACCGTCGTGCCTGACCTGGTTGTAGCTTGAAGGCGTGCCCGCCGATCATGTCTTTATGGCTTGTAAGACGGGTTTGGGATACATCAATCCAAGTACTGAGGTGAGCAGAGGATCATGATCATCTATCAACTTGAAGAAGCCGAGCGTCATACATGGAACATCTGACATTGTCGAGAAATATGAGGAGGCGGCGGGAGAGGGGGCAAGCAAGTTATATAACTGTCAGTCTTGTCACAGAACTAGCACATGTCTCGGCGTGCTACGCTGGAGAGACAATTGAGAAACGGGCTGTGAGCCATAATTTGCCGTGATTTATGCTCGCGTATTCACATGATAGTCATTACAATGGAAGTTCAGGAGATGGCATGCAGCAGTAGCAAGTGTCGAGTGGAGCCTGGCGAAACTTGGAGTTCGCTTTTCGTCCATCTTGAACGAGGCGGGAGGAGTTAGCGCACCAAAGGTTTCAGTCTCCCATTGCGCGGCTGTCGCTGGTTGGATTCGTCTCGCAACAAGAGCGCGGCTTGTGTATGGATGCCAGAGACTTTGCCGAAAGGGCTCGAAGGAACGATACCTACAGCCTTGCAGCAACGCCCGACTGAAACGATTGAGCTATCTTAGTTGCAAGCGTACCGGAATGATCACCATAGCAGGTACAAAACTATCATCTTCAGGATCACATCATGTAAGCGATTCAGGTGTCTGAGCGTGGTGATCCAGTCTTGATTTCCCTGTGTGACAACTACTCTGTACAGATAGCAAGAGGCCTCTTCCGAGGCTGGTAGACCTTTTCTGTTTTGCCCTGAGCAGCTCTCGTTTCGCTTTTTCTGTGTGACCGCTTTCTTTGCGCGTCACCCACGTCCAAATTTTGCAAATTCCCGAAACAAGAACCAGTGGAAGAAATGACACCGGCAGAAAACGCCCTGCCGAACCGTGGCATGACCCGCTTAAGAGGCCATGTAGGTGCTGGCGTCGATACCCTCCTTAGGGAACTCACTGTAGCGATGTTAGAATTTGCTTCACACACGAGACTAGATTACTTACGGAAGAGCGACCTCGAAGCGCTTCTCAATGGCCTTGAGGACCTCCTGGTCCTGGTCGGTGCTCACGAAGGAGATGGCAAGACCCTTGGTACCGAAACGGCCGGCACGACCAACTCTGTGCAGGTACGAGTCGGCATCGGCGGGCAGGTCGTAGTTGATGGCCAAGTTGATGCGCTCGATATCAATACCTCTGCCGAAGACGTCGGTAGCAACGCAAATACGCTTGTTAAACTCCTTGAACTCCTTGTAACGGCGGATACGCTCCTCCTGGCTGACGCCGGAGTGGACGGCGATGGAGGGGAAGTTGCACTCTCTCAGCAACTTGTCCAGCTCGGTCGCACGCAGAGTGCTCTTGACGAAGATGATGACCTGGTTGAACTGGAGGTCGTCCAGGAGCTCGTTGAGCTTGCGGTTCTTCTCGCGCTCCTCAAGCTTGATGTAGTATTGCTGAAGACCGTGCAAGGTGAGCTTGGTATCCTCGTCGACGTAGTGCTCGGTGGGGTTCTGCATGAACTTTCGGCAGATAGGCTTGATTTCGTCGGACAGGGTGGCCGAGAACATCATGACCTGCTTCTGAGTGGGAGTGGCGCGGAAAATCTCCTGGACGTCACGGCGCATGTCTGGTTTCGTGTTAGGAATGGTTGCTGGTGGGAGTGGCGCCGCAACTCACCGATCTGGTCAAGCATCTTGTCGCACTCGTCAAGAACGAAGATGCGGACGCTGCCAAGGCGGAGAACCTTGTCGCGAACCAACGCGTTAAGTCGACCGGGGGTGCCCACAATGATGTGAGGGCAGGTCTCCTTGTTCTTGATCGTCTCGACGTCCTTCTGGATGGGAGTACCACCGTAGAACACGCCGGTCTTGATGTCGGGCATGTACTTGCTGAAGCGGTTGTACTCGTTGCGAATCTGGAAGGCGAGCTCACGAGTGTGGCACATAACCAACACAGAGACTTCGCCCTGGACAGGCTCGACTTGTTGAAGAGTCGTCAGAACGAAGACGGCCGTCTTTCCGAGACCGGACTTGGCCTGGCAGATGATGTCTCCACCGAGGAGAGCCTGGGGAATACAGGTTTGTTGGACTGTTCGATCGCGCCGATGTTAGATATTTGTTCCAAGAGCAGAAGAACGACGTCAAGGGCGTGCAAAGGGCCCGTCCATCTGCGCAAAGAAGCCATTTTGTCGGGTCGATTTCCTCCCTCCACAACAAACACGCCGATCGATCACAAGCGACGATGGCCAGGCAAAGCACGAGTCGCGAACATGGGCGGCGCAACGCGCCCATCTGCAGCTTGCGACCGTGATACAAGAGTAGCCGGACCGCTAGGAGGCGAAGCTCTCGTAGCGCATGTCCGGCTGGAGTGTACTCGAGAACACCGCAGTGTTCGCGCGGCCGAGGGGCGCTGTCACGCTTTCCCCTCGAGAACCGCAGTGTAATCCACCTGTCACCAGTGGATTCGCGAGCAGTGCCCATACAAAAACTTGGACGTCCGACTTGACTCCCGCTTTCTCGGTACTTCCTCGATGGCGATTTCGATGGCTTTTTGTGTTTTGCGTGGCTTGCGAGATGGACGGACGCTTGCTGATGGGGGAGGGGATGATGTATGGGTTAGGGTATTATAAACTCAGGACTGACCCTCCGAAGGATGCTCGAAACCGCAATCGCCAATAGCGCGGAGAAGCTCGGGCTTCAAGAGGAAGTCGCGGAAACCGGTCGAGTGGATGCCGACATAGCTGCCCTTCTTGTCGACGTTGTTACCGGCGGCAGCCTCAGCCTTCTTTCCGTTCGAGGCGGCGGCCGTCTCGTTGGTCTGGAGCTCCTCGTCGGAGTAGTCGATGAGATCCTCCTCAGCAGACATGTTGTCGGTTGTTGGGAGTGTCGTTTGTAAGTGTCGAGAAGAAATCGGCCGCGAGGCTGATGCGCAAGAAAGAATCCCAAGGCTATCGATGCGTAGCTTGGGTGATGAGGAGAGGTCGACGGTCAGCAAGGTAGCTGGTCGCGCGTATTGAGGAAAGGTCGAAGGACTACAATTCAATCGTAGAGGGGAAAAAACGCAATGTCGTGTCCGAAAAAGCGCACGACGAGCAAGGATTGAAAGCAGATGGCAATTGGGAGTTGCAGGGTGGGAAGGCGGGGATGGGAGGAGGCGCCGTGGTTGATGTGGAAGATTCAAGGACGACGTGGAACTCGAGGCGAAGGTGAGGCGGGCAGCACAAGGTCAAAAGCTTTCGCGTAAGAGGCGGCTGAGTCCCCAGGCGACGTCATGTGACCAAGACCCGCTTATCTAAGACAGTGTCAGTGCGAGGTATACACCGTGGGCCGTGAACGCCATTAACCTTAATCTTTTGATTCGGAGAAAACACTCAACATAGGCTGGGCTAGCTTATCCACCCCCTGCAGAAGTTTTTAGAAAGCCAAAAAAAAACCAAAAAAAACCGGTTAACTCTCATCGCTACAGTGGCTTCAATGACTCTCAATCGATGAAACGTTTGACAACCCGCAGGGAGGTCAAAAAATGGCAAAGCCTAAAAGCGAGAGCCTGCCTAACAGGCACGCATACACGCGCGTCTCCTACCTGCACCAGGCCGCCTCGTACTTGGCTACTGTGCAGTCATCCAACTCCGACTCAACCGCCAACTCATCGCAGGCTCACAACTTTCCCCATGTCGCCGATCAGCAGAACCAGTCGAAAACAAATGAGACGATTGCCCGGCGTTTTGTTTCCGACATTCGAGCCGTCTCTCTCAAGGCTCAGATCCGCCCGAGCCCGTCACTCAAGCAGACGATGTGCAAGTACTGTGACTCTCTACTCATGGAGGGCAGGACGTGCTCCACGACGGTCGAGAATGCGAGCAAGGGCGGCAAGAAGCCTTGGGCTGATGTCATGGTCACCAAATGCAAGACTTGCGGCAACGTCAAACGGTTCCCGGTCAGCGCGCCCAGACAAAAGCGTCGACCGTTTCGAGAATCAAAGTTGGTTGATGAGCAGGAACCGACGCCTGCGGTTTCCGAGATGTCGACTGGTGGTGACTGAGGCGGTCAGGTCATGAACCACAAGACTACTGCTATTCTCAGTTGAGATCCCACAGGTGGCAAGCCCTGGTTATCATTTGGGATACTTGACTGCCAACGGCTGCCACCAGATCAATAATCAACCGTATTCGCCGACCTTGGATCAGGCGTGTCTTTTCGACGCGAAGCAAAGAGTATGAACTCTAAAAACTGATCTGGATCTGACTTCAAGAAACAGGCCGACGGCTTGTAAATGAAGCAGGTGGTGGTAGAAGCGCTTCATCTCCCATCTAGCCGCTGAACAACCGCGGCGCAAGCCGCGATCACTGCGCATGTAACCATCCATGCGATAACTGAAGCAATTTACCTTAGCCACATTGGCAGACGCGAGGAGGAAGTCTGAAAGACTTCTGTTCTCCAAGACAACAGTAACGAGGTGTTGCATGTAAAAAGAGGGGGGTCACAGCTAGCTCACGTAGCAATATCTTATCTGGCAAATACATACCAAGCTGGCTCAACTAGGATATTGAAGTGAATTAAAAATTGAACCATGACTTTTTCTCGCTATTGCTGTTTTATCCTAATAAATCATCCCATCAGTCCTCAACCTCAGATCTTAACACACGGCACGGTGGATACCGTCCTTCATCGACCTGACCTCCTTGCTTGCGCCCTCAGCACCCTCGTTCTTCTTGTGTTTCTCCTCGTCACCCTTGACGCGCACCCGTTTGCGGCTGTGGTGCTTCCTCAGAACTTGCAGATCGATCTCATCGTTCCCGATGAGCGTCTCCGTAACGTCGGCGATGTCCGTGACCAGGTGCTCGAGCAGGTCAAAGGTCATGGTCTCGCGGACCACCACTCGAAGAATCTCAATCTTCTCCTCGTTAGGCGGGAGCGGGTAGTTGGGAATGATCCAGCCGCGGGCACGAAGCATGAGGGAGATGGTCTCCTGCTTGATGTGCCCGTACTTCTGCTTGAACTCGTCCGTCAGGCGGAAAGAGACGACAGGGAGCCCGGCGACGTAGTCAGCAGACGTCTCTCCCGGCGCAACGTTTTCGCCTCCGACGGTGCTAGCCGCCTGATTGACGACAGACTTCACGGCACCGCTAGTAGCCTTTTGAGGGGCACGGCGGTGAATGTCGGATACGACAGTGTACCAACCCGTGGCTTCGAGGCTCTCGGCAAGAAGGCGAGCGTTGGAGAGACAGTTCTCCATGATAGAACGATAGCCGTCAAAGCCTAGGTGAATAAGATTGTAGTACTGGACAATGACTTGGGCGCCCGGGCGGGAGAAGTTTAAAGTGAAGGACTTTTCGGTGCCGCCTAGGTAATGCAGCTCGAAGATGAGGTCCTCTGGCAAGAAGGACTGGTCGCGCCAAATGATCCAGCCAAGACCGGCGTAGACAAGGCCGTACTTGTGGCCAGAGACGTTGATTGACTTGACACGAGGGAGCTCGAAGTTCCTGGAAATCGTTAGTGTGAGAGGGATACTGGGCTGATAGGCATACACTTACCACTTGGATCCGCCAACGCCTGCGTGGGTGAAAGGGGCAATGAAGCCGCCAGACGCAGCGTCGACGTGGATGGGGATATCGATGCCAGTCTCCTCCTGGTACTTGTCGAGGATCTGGGAAATCTCCTCAACGGGCTCGTAGTGGCCCGTGTAAGTGCTGCCAAGGATGACGAAGACGCCAATGGTGTTCTCGTCAACGTTCTCTCTCACAAGGTCGGGATCCAGACGGTAGTGGCTCTTCTTGCTGACGGGCAAGATGCGCGCCTCGACGTCAAAGTAGCGAGCGAACTTTTCCAACGCAACCTGCGCGTTGGAGCCCATGAGAATGTTGGGCTTCGATGAGTCCTTGCCCTGCTCCTTGCGCTTGATCTGCCATCTCCGCTTCATGGCGAGACCGCCGAGGTGGATGGCCTCTGACGAACCGGTGGTTGCAGAACCGATAGCTTTTTCGCCGGGCTGGACGCCCCACAGGTGCGAGATGATGCTGATGCAGCGCTGATGCATGTCCATCATGGCAGGGTACTCATCTGCATCGGAAAGGTTCTTGGACAGATTCTCCTGCATGAGCTGGGTGGCGTTGGGCTCCATCCAGGTACCGACGAAACTTGAAGGTTAAGGGTTAGCAAAAGTCGGATTAAAAAAAAAAGGGGGGGGGGTTCCAGATGCTCACCTCGCCAGGTTAAGGTTGGGCTTTCCGTCAAGATCCAATTCATCCCTGATCATCTGAAAAACGGTGTCTCCCGGGGCACCCTCGTCTGGAATCTTGTACTTGGGGATGTTTGTTTGGCTGGTGTAGCGACTGTCATATGGCTGGATGTGTGCTGAAGTGGCATTGTTGAGGAGGTTAGTGTGTCCAGCAGGTGTGATGTGGGTTGCTTGGAGCCGTTGGACAATGTCCTCTGGGTTGACCTATTGTGGACGTAAGGATCAATCTTTCAACTGTGCCGGAGGTCTAGTAAGTGTGAGACTTACGTGGCTTGAGAGAGGCATGGTCAAATTCGGTTACCAGAAGCTACCAATGTGATTAGTGTTGCAAGCGGATATCGAACTCAATCTATGCAGTTCAAGAATGGGATACTAAGATGGATTGATGTCCAAGTTAAGATTGCCAAGGTTGGGGAATCACCAGCTGAGGCTTATATACAGTATCACATCATGAAAACAGTTGCAACATGTGGTGCGGCTGTTAAGCCGATGATGAGGGACGGATGACGACATATGGTAGACCAAGCGGAGTGCGGAGGTTTCCTTTGGTCAAATCATTCGGAAATAGCTCTAACTACATAAGAAACACTTACCTCAGCCCCAATATGATGGGCGTCGCGGGCCGAAGAGGGACTACGATGGCGAATGATGCTTCGCGGCTTTTAGCGCGACACTTTTCAAGGTCTCTGCCAAGGCCATGTCCATTTGTGGTGAGGCTCTTTTGTGGCTCGTGGAGAAGCTGTGAAGGGGACTGGAGCTGGAGAGATGCCGACTTTGCCGGTGGAGTCCCTCTCTGCGCTGACAATGCGGGCTTGTGTGTCGGGCCAGGGGCAGCAGAATGATGAGTATGAGGGTGATAACTGTACGTTGGTTTCGATTACGAGCTATGACCTGTCTGAACTAGGTACGAAGAAGCTGTGAGCAGGTGCCGATGCTCAGACGACGGTCAGGCCCTTGGTTGCGGAGTGGATGGGATGGGATGAGTGACGGCATTGGGAAGCTGCGACCTGGGCATTGGATCCGGGACCTGCACTGAAAGCCGGGGAACTCCTTCCGCTTCCTCTCCAGTGACAGGTGGATCCCGTTCCCGTCTTGGCGCTGTATATACCGACAGCAAGAACACTCCGGCGGCATTGATCGGCTATGTTCAGAATCGGGATTCTCCTTTCCGCATAGAATTGTTAACTAGATGTCTTGCGCTCTCACCAATATCCAGCGACCGAGTGGAAGCTAACAGGACACGAAGCGAGGGGCATCCGGAGGCGACCTTTCCTCAGGATCCCAGCCGGAGAAATATCATTAGGCCCGAATGCACCGACCCCAAACCATCCAACAGACAACTTTCTAGCTTGCAGGAAGACTTGGAAGACGATTCAAAATCGAGATAGTACATTCTTTGATTTAGTTTGGAGAAATCGGCCGGCCGTTGTGACCATTTATCCGGTGGCCCAGACCCTGTGCTGCCTCGTCCTCGGCATCACCAGGAACACGACCTCTGTCGGGCATTTTGTACAGGAGATGTTTGATGGCACTTTTGGACCCGACCTGGGGAGGGAACGGCTTCGCCTTCAACCGTAACCTTCGAGGCGCTGCATTCAACTCCAGACGGTCATCTTCGAGCGTGGATTAACCGCCTTTGTCACGAAACTTGACCCGGCTTTTCTTCGGTTTCGATCAAGACTAGTGTTGAAGACAGCCTGCGAGGAAGCATGCCGGTATTGTTCCTTTCGCTTGCGGCCTCGATCAACGAGCATCGCACTGCTCGAAGATGTCGAGCGCCAGAGGGTTAAAGGTCCAGTCCAGAGGGTATCCGTAGCGCTACTACATTCACACAAGTTGGGGAGCCGCTGAGACTCGAAAGAGCCAGCACTATCGGGATTAAGATTAGATTGTCAACAGTGACAGGGATTCCCCAATGGCCATTCACATCTGTTCGTACTCCTGTCAAAGATAAGCCAGGACTACCCAGGAGGTCAACTTCTTCCCGTCTGATAAGCACGCATGGTGATTGGCCGATAGGACACAATTCAACCAAAGTTCCATTGCAGCAGCTCGCCAAGTCTCGCGCAATGGCCGTGGCTGGGCCGAATGGACGGCCATAGTGGCATGGGCATTGGGCCAGGCACAAAGCTTTTAGTCTGGCGCCCTGCGAAAGCGAGCAGAGCTGCGCCTGGCAGTTCATTTGGGGCTGGAGACGACGACAGATACATCGGACACATCGGACGAAATACACTTGACGCTGCTTGCAGTTGATTCGCCAGAACATCCATTGCCTTATTTGGTTTGTTCACAGAACCTAAGCGATCAGCAAGCAGCAAGCAACTCCCGGATCGGTGACAGGGGCAGCGGCGCGGCTTTGTGATCTGCTGATCCCTATATTTCCTTGACAAAGAGGGGGGGAGCGAACATCTCGAAGAGGAACAGCTGCCGGGCTGCCAGGAGCCCTTTCAATGCGCCAGATCAAGCATTGAGCCACCGAGGCGTCGAATGTGAACCAACAGAGAGTCAGCTTCAGGTGTTCCCCGGCCTCGAGCGGTGCTAGAGCCGAGAGAGGTGTGGGCCAGGTTGCCATTGTCCTCCCAATGTCAGTCCCCCCCGACGAACCATTCTTCTTCTCTCGCCTCCTCCACAGCCCCTCGGATGTCGCTACCCCGATTTAGGAAGGTCGACAAACGGCCGCTGGGCCTGCGGGCTGTCGCGTCGCTTCTTGTGCTTGTGTCGTGATAGCACGCTAGGGAGCCAAATTCTTCTGATCCCCTCGAGGCCCCCCCTCCCCCCTCCCCCCTCCCCCCCCAGCACGCAGCTCGTCGCCCGAAAAACCCCAAAGACAAACCCACACACCCGGTGATACCTTACGGGGAGATAAATACGGATAGCGAGGGTCGAGAGTCGCCTTACACGTTATTTGTACCATTGCCTGTGGATTCTGCGAGCTTCAACGCAACTCGAGTTTACACACCAACTGCTGTAGGATTTCCAGGGCCCAACAGATAGAGTCCAGAACCCATCTCGCCGCTCGTTGGCGATCCGCGGGAAGTGGGATTTTTTTTTTTGGACTGGACTGGCGGGCTGACTCTACCTTGTCGCCTTGTCTTGTTCGCCTGCAGACTGCCGACCGGCACCACCGTCGCCGCCGCCGCCATCTTTTCGGTTGATTTAACTGAAAAAGCCCTTGGCACCCGCTGCCCCCCCAGTCGTCCCCCCGTTGTGGCCTTGGGGCCTTCTTTTGTCCATTTGCTTATCTCGTCGGTCGCTCTTCAGCCCATCCGCAATCGGCGCTTCAAACTCTCACCTTTCAATCTACTCGGCTGACAGTAGAGCGAAGGAGAGAGGGTCACCAAATCCTCATCAGCCGTCACCATGCCGTCCATTTTTCGCAAGCGCGGCGAGCCCGAGGAGATCACGCCCTACCCCGCCCTCGACGATGCCGCGGCCACCGGTATCGAGCCGCTGAAGGCTCTGGCTCAGTTCGAGAAGGCGCACAAGCTCGACCCCAACATGCCAATTGACGAGCTCAACGATGTCGATACAGCGCTCGCCACCGGTAACGCCGAGAAGGGCCTCGAGATCGAGCAGGCCCTCATGGAGGACAACTCGCCTTATCCAGAGGTATGTCGCGACGGACTCATCCAGGCATGCTGGACATGCAGAGAGGAAGGGCAGACATATGGTCATGCCAAGTGAGAGAAACCCGTCCAAACCGCTGACACGATGCGGCGACGCAACAAAGGTTCGCGCAGTAGTACGGAATTACGATGTCGATTTGCCGGCAAACACGATTCGCGCCTGGGTCATTGGCATGCTGCTCTGCACCGTTGGCTCTGGTGTTAACATGCTTTTCTCACTGCGCAACCCGAGTGTCACGATTACGACCTATGTCGTGCAGCTCATCGCCTACCCCATCGGCTTGGGTTGGGATTTGATCATGCCGGATAAGGAGCAGAATGTCTTTGGCATCAAGTTCAACCTCAAGCCTGGCCGCTTCAACTACAAGGAGCACGTCATCATCGTTGCCATGTCTAATGTAAGTTCGATCCGGTGGGGTTCTCAGGACTCAGGTTGGGGGTTCGCGGCAGCCAAGATATCGACGTCGCGGCGCCAAGGAGGCCCAGTGATGGGAAACATCAACGATGGAACTAACACAACTTGCAGGCCGCATATGGAGGTGGTGTTTTGTATGCGACAGATGTTCTCCTTGCCCAACAGCTCTTCTACAAGCAACACTTTGGGTGGGCCTTTCAGTTGCTTTTCGGCATCACCACTCTTTGCACTGGATACGGTCTGGCTGGATTGGCACGTCGCTTCCTCGTTTGGCCCTCTGCCATGATTTGGCCCTCGAACCTGGTCAACTGTGCTCTGTTCTACACCCTTCACGACCACTCTGGCTCGGACCCAACCAAAACCAACGGATGGAAGATCGGCCGCTACCGCTGGTTCCTCATTGTCGGCAGCGGTGCCTTCATCTGGTACTGGTTCCCTGGTTGGATTTTCCAGGGTCTCTCGTACTTCACCTGGATCTGCTGGATCGCGCCCAAGAACGAGGTCGTCAACAAGGTCTTTGGTGGCCTCTCGGGCTATGGACTCATGCCCATCTCATTCGACTGGACCGTGATTTCCGGTTATCTTACTTCCCCACTGATCCCGCCTTTCCACGCCATCGCCAACGTGATTGCTGGCATCATCGTCTTCTTCATCGTCGTTTCTTCCGGCATCCATTTCTCCGGCACGTGGTACTCCGACTATTTCCCTGTGCAGAGCTCCGAGTCGTTTGACAACACTGGCGCGGTCTACAACGTCAGTCGCATCCTCGATGCCAATCTGCAGTTCAATGAGACTGCCTACAACGATTACTCGCCGCTCTACCTGCCGACGCAGTTTGCTCTTGCCTACGCCCTGTCTTTTGCCGCCGTGGCAGCTGTTGTCGTTCATGTTGCCCTGTACCACGGTACGGAGATCTGGGGCCAGTTCAAGCTTGCCCGTCACCAGGAGGACGACGTGCACATGCGTTTGATGAAGAAGTACCGCGATGCTGAGGACTGGTGGTATCTCGGTAAGCCATCCCCGCAAAAGACTGCACTTTTCTTGACTAACAAAGCACACAGCCCTGTTCGTCACCATGGTCGGCATCTCGTTCGGTGTTGTTGCTGGCTGGCCAACCGGGTTCCCTGCTTGGGCCTACGTCGTCTGCATCCTGATTCCGGTCTTCTGGCTCATCCCCATTGGCATCGTCCAGGCCATTACCAACATCCAACTCGGCCTCAACGTCCTGACCGAGTTCATCATTGGTTACATGGTGCCCGGCCGGCCCCTTGCCATGATGATGTTCAAGAATTACGGCTACATCTGCATGTCGCAGGCACTCTACTTCGCCCAGGATCTCAAACTGGGTCACTACATGAAGGTACCGCCTCGTACCCTGTTCGCATCCCAGCTTGTCGCCTCGCTCTGGTCTGCCGTCGTCCAGATTGCCGTCATGAACTGGGCTCTTGGCCACATCCCCGACGTATGCCAGCCCGACCAGCCCAACAGCTACACCTGCCCCGGCGGTCGTGTCTTCTTCACGGCGTCCATCATCTGGGGCGCTATTGGCCCCGCCCGCATCTTTTCTGGACAGGCGCTTTACTCATCCCTGCAATGGTTCTGGCTCGTCGGCGCCATCACTCCGGTCATCACCTGGTTTCTCGCCCGCAAGTGGCCCAAGAGCATTTGGCGCTATGTCAACACGCCGCTGCTGTACGGTGGTTCCGGCTGGCTGCCCCCTGCTAGCGTCTACATCTACCTTTGCTGGGCTCTTGTCGGCACCATCTTCAACTTCTTCATCAGACGTCGCTACACCGGCTGGTGGTTGCAGTACAACTACATCACTTCGGCGGCCCTCGATTGCGGACTGATCGTGGCCACGCTCATCATCTTCTTCACGCTGTACCTCACATCGGCGAGACCACCTCAATGGTGGGGCAATGTTGATGTCTTTGAGACGATGGACTGGAAGGGCACAGCCATCAGGACGCAAGTGGCACCCGGTGAGACCATTGGGCCCAGTAGCTGGCCTTGAATTTCACGAAAATGAGAAGGATCAAGGAGCGTGTTAATGATGTTCGAATTTGACAAGGGTACAGGAGTTGGTGGCTTTAATCTGTACGTATTATGGTCACACGGCCCATAGGTAGGAGTCTTTGGATATTTGGCTCTGATGAGAGGATTGTCTTTATGGCTGATGATACCTCGACGCGAATGTAACTGGAAATATAATCTTGAGTATGAACCCACGAGTTTACAGGGGCTACCGTTTGTCTCTGTTTTATTGGGCATGATTTGAGCTGGTACGAACTCTTACTACATAACCGCGCTTGTTTCGGGGTTTCCCCTTTTGAACGTTGATTCCGACATCGAATGTGATTTCCTCGAAGCATTGCCAGCCTTAAATCATTGGCGGTAATGACCAGGCACACTCCTGCCTGGTTTGAAGCACTCAACTGCGTTTCTGGGCAAGTCCGCCAGGCACCTTTTGTTGAAGGAATCAACACCCCGTACTCAGACGTCCTCATGGGTCGTCATTCCTCAACTTCGCAAATCCCACCTTGCAGTTCATCTACCATTGCTCGTTGCAACATCCCGCATTCGCTTGGCCACAAGCCACGAATTACCTTACCTATATTGTTCCATGTGCGATATACCTACAGGCGGTTTCTCTACACCGACACCGACAGCCTTGAATTGGAGTGGGCCGCGTTCCGCCCCGAAATACAACAAGATAAAGGGGCCCAAACGCGGTCAAGGCAAGAAGAACACCAAGAAAGACAAAACGAAGGACAAGAAGATGTTCGGCACAGCAATGATACCGGCGCCGGCGCCCATCTACGACGAGAGAGACCTAGCCGACCTAGCCGAGGATTTCCGCCGCAGCAAAGAATCCCTGAAGGCTGCCGGCAGGAGGCTGACATCTCGCCAGACCTCGCGTGCAACACGGGCATCGCGAGCATCAATCGAGTCTCGAGGGCCCCTCTCATCCAACGAAGACCTAGACTTAAACGTCGATCTTCCCCCAGGCATACTAGCAGACGAACCAGCTGCCTCGTCGCCTCCGTCCCGAGCGCCGGGGCATCCAGCTGGCAAGGGGGCTCGGAAGACGAAACGTAGCTCGACGAACCGATCCGAACGGAAGGCAGAACGTGATGCTGGAGTTCAGCCAATGAAGCGGAGGCGAGGCTTTCGTGCCAGACTTCGACGAATTTTTGGCCGGGACGACAAGCCTGAAGCTATTTCCGACACGCCATACAGCCAATGTCAGACTCAAGAACCGCGGAAACAGGACCATCAGGGGGAGAACTCGCGGCAATCCACCGAGAAAAAGGCCGCGCCGAAGCGTGGTCATGAGCATACTGAAGCTGAGCTGTCTTCGCCAAAAGAGCCTGCGCCTCACGCCAGCATCAATCTCGCCGAAAACGACACAACTGCATGATGGTGTCGTGGCCAAGCTTCACGGTCAAACTTGCAGTGAGGTAGGTGTACCTAAGACCCATCTCCTCGCGGCATGTTGACCAATTACGTTCAACAGCAATCAATGTGATCGAAGTAGGAGGGGCGAAGACGAAGCGGCCCAGGAATTGAGGCGATTTGCTGGTCTTGCGAAGAATGGATCCACGTGGCAAGGCAAGCAAGAGCCGGCTTGACTTGTTGGTCACAGTTTGCAACCTATAGCACTTGGGAGAAGAGCCATGAGGGTGGGCGAGCCCAAAGGCTTGGTCAGTAAATTAGATGTCACAGAGCTGGTCTAAACAACACAGGCTATAGGACTTCTTTCGGCGGGCTTTGATCAGAACCTAATACAACCCTTCTTTCCATTCCTACTATGTTTACCCGACGCTCCGTGATGGGACTAATTGCTTCTTAGGCTTGCCCGACGTCCGCCCAGCTCCGCCGGATTATTATTTGCTTCGACTGGGTGCTGGAAAGCACGGTAATATGGCGTCAAGGAGAAGGTCTCGCATTGCAAGACACACGCCGCCGACGTTCCCAGAATCGAGATCACACGGAAAGAGAAAGCGTCTCCGCTTCATGAAATAAACCACGGGAGGCCTCAGTTGCTGATTGAAATTTCAACATTCAGAGTGAAAGATGCCGAAGACTCCCTTCCATGACTGATCAAGACACCAACTTATCCACGGCGGTTCCAGGCCAGCGGAGTCCAGAAGGTTGCGTATAAAGGCGTTGCCCCTTCAATCTATCGCTAGTCATCTTACTGAATCGTTGGGGCCTCCCTCATCTACCAAGGGAACGAGGACGTCTGACTTGAGCCGCCGAACGTCATCCCGGAACGGAGCTCGGCCCAGTCCAGTCCCAGCCATCTGGCTGGCAGGGGTCATGTCCGCCATCTCCCCGAAATTTGCGAGATCTAGAGTCCATGAGGGCTCATTGTCTGGACCGATACAGAGTCCTGAAGGACAATGAGAGGGTTTAAGACGCCCAGTCGAGACCCGCCAGCTCCCTTGCTCAACAAATACCAGCGATGGCATAGCACGTGTCTCACCTTTTAAGATACGGTCGTACAAGAGACAACATAGCAGTCGCGAAAATGTCAGCGGGAAGGGGGGGGGCAAGGAGGAAAAAAGCAAAACAACAATACAATGAAAGGAAACGATGACCCTCCTTCGCCTTTCGCATCCCTTTCTGCACGCCCTTTGGCACCCCTTTGGAGGAAAGTGACACAAGAAAGCGCACTGAGACAAGGTTGAGTCAGTCGTGGGCAAACAAAAAGTCTAGGACAATCTCGCAATCTTTGACTCTTTTGGGGACAAGCAGCCCGACAAAGGTCTGAGTGTCGTCTTTTTGGTATAAAGCCGAGGGTGAAGAAGCACAAGAAAAAAACAAAAAGGCCAGAAGCGAAGCTCTGCAAACCCCCGTCTTCACACACTTATTTTTTTTTTGCCAGCGTCATTTTTTGGTTTGGCGGAAAGAAAGCGTACAACCCGTTCCCGCCCAACGCCCAGCAGCCTCCTCCCCCCGTCGGAAAGACATTCTCATTGTGAAGAAGAACTCTTGATCGGCCCGGACCATGTCATTCAGAAGAAGAACCGGCAACAACACAAGACACTTTGACACGGTTTCCGGCTACAACAGGCCCGTTTATCTACCGCCGCGACCGCGCTGACGGCTTTGCCCTTCGCTCCCGGGATCTCGAGAACCAAATATCCTACCATCACCGACACCTAGCATTGGAGTTGAGGCACGACGATCACAGGCACCGCAAGACCACCGAACAGGGGGTTTTCGGCTCGCCACCACCTCACATCACGACGCGCGCGCGCGCGAGAGAGAGAGTGCGCAAAGGAAGAATCCAGGGCCCGAGGCCGGAAAGATGGGCCGAAGCGGCTACGACACGACGGGATTGGGTGGGTTCGTCCGTGCCAACCCGCGGCCCGCCGGCGGTAACAAGGCCGGAGGGGGTCAGAAAGGTGGGGGTAGCTCGGCCGGGCCGGGGCAGATGCAGCAGGCGCAGACGGGGGCGGGATCGGCTTTGGCTTCGGGTAAGAACCGGGGCGTGAGTGCGGCGCCGCCGAAGAAGTGATGGCGAGGCCCGGGTTATTTGGATCCGTCGGTGGGTGGATCCTCGATCACCAAGGTATGTTCGTCGCTTGTGGCTCTGGGTGGGCAACGGCAGGCTGACGGGTTGCGGCGGTAGACGTTACTGGCCGGGGAGCCCACTTGGTTTGAGGGAAAAGGTCCAAGACGTGGCATCTTGATGTAAGTCTATCTCTTGAAGGAACCGAGTGTCCATATGCTGACGATGTCTTGGGCAGCTGACGCAGGCGAAGGAAGAATGCCGGCCGATCCTTCAGCTCCGCGAGGGGTGGTGACGGATGGCCCACCCGTCTATTTGAGGATACAATGAGGGGATGCGTTGGACATCGAGACAAAGAACTCGTGCCGTGAGAGAGAGAGAGAGCACCTTTTGGGTTATGGGTTATACCAGGGATTTGGGGTCCCGATTGAGTGGGTATCTACATTGCGAAAAGAAGCGCCGGCATGTACACTCTGACGAATTGTCACAGGAACAGGGGCAAGCGGATGGTAGTTTTAGAGAAGATAATCAGCCGCAAGGCGTCTCGATACACACAAGTAATGTTCTTGATAAGTCTATACAAAATCTCGTTACATATAACATCGCAACGTCGACCTGGAACATAGAAACGCTAGGTCAGAAAAGGGGTATCGCACTAGGTAACGGCAAAACAAAAACATTTCATGACATCATCCAAGGCATGAGCGCCTTTCCGTCTTTCCGGAAGCTCCACATAGTAGCCGTCTTTAGCTGTACTGAGGCGGGTGCTGCGTCGGCGCGGTATTCGAAGGCGGCTGCGGTAGGTAATACTCCGCAGCGGCGCCGGTCGGGCCCGCCGCTGCCGTCGAATCGGACACCGCCGAGGGGCGTATGGCGGGACGGGTGTCTGCGCGCGGTAGGGTGCGTAGCCCATGGGCTCGTACTTGCTTTCCGCGGTGTTGTTGTTGTTATTGTTGTTGCCGGTGCCTGCTGCGGCGCCGGCGTACCACGAGTCTCGGTTGCTGGCGTCGTCCGCCCTGCCCTCCTCGATCTTGGCGTAGACTCCGCCGCGGGCGCCCGAGTCGTTGTTGCCGGACTTGTTTTTCTTGTGGGAGACGAACTTCTTGTAGAGGAAGACGGGGATCCAGAGGCCTGTCGAGACGAGGAGGGCGTGGCCGAAGACGCGACCCAGGCGGAACTTCTGGCCTTGCTTTTTGCGTTTGAGCTCTGGAGAGTGTATAAGTCACGGGTCGTCTTTGAATCTGGCGGACCGTGCCGTGCCGCGATGGACGCCAGACAGAAAGCAAAGGGGGGAGGGGGGCTTACCCTGGACCAGATAGTACGTGAAAGCAATGAGGAACAAGACGAGCCAGACGATCAAGACAATGATGAGGATCCGGGCCCAGAGGGGGAGTTTGCCGAAGCCACCTCCACCGCCTCCACCACCGCCGCCGGCGGCGACATGGCCGCCCTTGGACTTGTATTTGCTTGTCTTGGATTTGGATTTGGAGGATTTGCTGCTACTACTACTGCTGCTGCTTCCTTTGCTGCCGCCGCCACCTTTGGGTATGCGGGATTCGAGGATGAAGTCCATTGCCTGTTGTGCGTGTGCGTTTGAGGGTTGATGGAGGTTGGTTGGGCAGTCTAGAGTCAATCGAGTCCTTGGAACGAAGTGCGATTGCTCAAAGTCTTGTTGCTCGAAGGCGCTAGTTGGTGAAGAGGTAAGATGTGTGAGATGATGGATCGAATAGGTCTTCAAGGCCGAGGGGGGAAAGCAGGCTGCCAAGTGCTTAAGTAGGACGAGGACGATGCAGCAGCGTGTAAGATGGCGTTCCAGGGTTGTGCTAATCGGCGACGACTGTTTTAGTGTCATGCAGATCTGACGAGACACAGCCAAACAGCACAGTTTGTTGGCTCAGACCCCTCGGCTTCTAATCATCGGGGGAGAAGAGTTTGGGGGGGGGGGAGGGAACAAGGTGCTGTACCTCTCGCGACCTACATCTTGACCTCACTCGCGCACATCAGGCCGGGGAGCGCCGGGGACCAAGCTCGTCAGTGTCCTGTTTGGGTAGGATTAGGTAGACAAGCAAAGCACCGAGTGGGCGGAAGGATTCTGCAGGCTGATGGCTGTTGAACGGACGGGGGTGAGAGAATTACACAGGTGGAGGAGCCTGGTCGGGGTCTTGGCATACCTCAGCCGCTGACGATGTCATTCGTCCGTTTGCGCCGCAGAGGAAGGATGGCGTCCTATCCCTGGCCGGAGATATGAGATGGCGGGGGAGGCCGTTTGGAGAGAATGGGAAGGGTTATCCAGTTGCAATCTCACCGCCGCCCATTTTCTTCGTCCCCTCGTCCCTGTCCCCTGTCGGCGTTTCGAAGAAAAAGTCGAACAAGATGGAAAAGACGCAACATTCGAGTTGCTCTTTTCAGAATCGCAAGTGGATGCTGCGGCTGGGCGGTGTTCGCTAGCGCACGTTGGAGGGATGACCCCTTCTGGCAGCAGCAGGTCAAGACCCAATGGGGACAGTCGAATCAGCCTTACCACTCCCCCATCTGCCCCTTCTCTGGAGGGAACCGGAGGGCTGTGGGAGAGAGAGAGAGGCCGGTGCTTGCCTAGGGACTGGTAGACCCCCCCCCCCCCCGAGCTTATCTCACAGGGGACCTAATCCCGGCAGACAGGTTCCCAGCAAGCAGGTCAGGTCTGTCCCTCTGGAAGCTTATTTCCTCGTTAGCAGGCCATGCGCTTCGGGGCTCCGCTCCCATTGATGCCCCGACCGGCATCTTGGTTCTCGACAAGGATTCCACTTCTTCCAGGCAGCTACAATCCCATCCCTGGCATCGGAATGTCCACGACGGAGCGGCGTCTCTTGCGACTCAGACCTCGTAACCTTTTCGTTTTCTTCGGGCTTTTGGATGGGACGTTGTCGATCGTTCGCCCGGCGAATGTTGACCGATGACGATGCTGACGATGCAGGGACTTTGGCTATCCATCCAAAACATCGAGGGGCGAGATGGGATGATCGCTGCGATCGACCCTGCGGCTGCAAATGCCCTGCAGCTCGAAGCCGTCATTCCGTCATTTCTGACCCAAGACATGTTTTGTCGAGCTTCTTTCGACCAGATGCAGCTTGGTGACTTCGAACTTGACATTGAACCGCACTCTTCTGGAAGCACGCACAGAAAAATAGGCATGGCGGCTGGGACCCTGCATTACATCGGCGGCTACCGTTGTGGTCGTCTCAATGCAGTCGGGTCCTTCGTTGCGCTCCAAACTTTGCGGGGCCGGTTTAACGGTGAGGCGAGAGCGTGTCCCGGCGGTCTCCTGGTGCGGACTGGTTGCCTTGAAGTCAATTTTGACTTCATCTTCTCCACCGCTGGCGATGCTGCATGGTTGTGGCTGTGGCAGTGCCGCTCTTGTGCGAGGCATTCACCTCCAACGTCGGCGTTGGTTGAGGCTCTCGATGTCTTTGGTGTCGGTCAACGCCGGTAATTGTCATCGACCCCAACAGAGTTATTCCACATCAGCCTCAACTTGTCCAGGCTTGTGTGAAGACCGTAGTTGGTTCTCACTGCGTGATGTGCCAACATAGTTGTTGTTTGCCTGTAGCCCAGAGAGGACAGAAACAGCATCGTCATCCACAATAAGCTGGCACGTCGTTGTACAGACCAACAGAGGTAGCATGCCCTCGTCTGTCTAGTAAGCTGTCTCAACCGAGGCTCCAGCGGGTCATTTCAAAAATTCCATCGGGCAAGACTCAGTCATGGTGGCAGCGAACAAGTACAACCGAACGGGACCCAGATAACAGGGGGGGGTATGCAACCGTGTTGCCCCTAGGGCCATAGCTGAGAGCTCATCTCTTTTCCGTCTGAATGCCATCGACCTCGGCTCTTTTACTTCAGCCGGGCCCGCAAGAACATGGCGATAAAAGCCACCAACCCCCATCGACACATTCGGGCCTCTAGGCCTCTGACTAACATGGGGATAGCGTTTTGCAGTTTCGGCCGCAACCTCGCGCGCTCTTTGTCGACATCGATCCATCGTCGATGCCGTACAATGCTCTCCTCTCCTACTGCACATTTGCGGGGACGGAGGGCTCACGGAAGCAACTCGTATGTACTCGGTCAACTGGGCCCCCATATTATGTTCTCTAACCTACTCTGTTCCCTTTTCTCACCTTTCATCCAATGATAAGCCCGCGACCTGCCAGCGAGCTGTCCCGATTCCGTCACCACGAACGAATGGGGGCCCAATTGACCGAGCAGGTACGGGTAGCTCTATTGTCTGTACTAACGCAGAAGTGAGGGCACTAGACTAGGTATCCCAAATGGCTTGGCCGCCTTTGCCGCCATGGCTAGACGCTACGCTCCCTGACTTAAGCACGTATCGCAGAACATCCGAAGTTACAGATCACAAGAGGTTAACCTACTATATCTCGCAACCCCCACCATAGGCGGAGACAACCGTCTGTTCACGACGACATCTCTGTCGTCTGCCCTAATTCCCGCGATCCCTTTTCGAGTGTAAAACCCAGCTCAAGATGGCGACGCAGGATATAACATCGAGTCTTACAAGGCCACAGCTCGCAGGCCTTCTGTTAGGTATCTGGCTGCTCTATGTCATTCAACTCGGGGTCCGGCGACTCTACTTCAGTCCGATCTCACACATCCCGGGCCCCAGGCTGGCGGCAATGACGCAGTACTACGAGTTCTACTACGATATCATTCTGGGAGGGCAATACACGTTCAGAATCATCGAGATGCACCGGGATTACGGGCCCGTTGTGCGCATCAGCCCGTGGGAGGTCCACGTTGGCGACCACGACTTCTTCCCGGAGCTGTATACCGGCTCTGGCCGGCCTCGGGACAAGTACGCATTCTACACTCGACAGGTAGGCTGCTGTTCTACTTCAGAGAGATTTCAATGGCTAATAGAGGTGACAGTTTGGCTCTCCTGGTAAGCTTCCACAGGTTAGGCGTCTGTTTGCTGAGCTGATGCGAAGAAGAAAGCGCATTGGCGACCGTCGATCATGAGCATCACAAACTGAGACGCTCGGCCTTGAATCCGTTTTTTTCTACGCAGACGGTACGAAAGCTGCAGCCTATCATCGAAGAGCGAGTTGATGCGCTGCTCAGCCGCCTGCTCGATCAAAGCCAGCGATCAAAGGAGCCCTTGGACGTTATGTACCCATTCTCGGCTTTCACCAACGGTAAGAAGCCGATAAGGACCTGTTGTAAATGAAAGCTGACATTGCAAGATGTCATCAATGAGTACAGCTTTGCTCGCAGCGACCATCTCAGTAAGTTGAGACCCAACAGCACATGCCAGCGAGCTAACAAGACTTGCAGTCGAGGACGAGACCTTTGGAAAAGAGGTCACTGACAACCTGCTCATGGGCACTCACCTGGGCCCAATGATCAAACACATGAACTGGGCCCTCACGCTGGTCAACGCACTACCCGAGTCGTTCTCGGGGCGTTTCGTTCCTGGTGGGTAGCCCCCAAAGAACTTGACTGCGTGCTTTGGCTGACTATTCCAGGCTGGGGCGGGTTCCTCAAGATGAAGAACGACATCAAGGACCAAATCGCCGAGATCAAAAAGACGGAGAATACAGAAAAGTGGCAGCTCGACATCAACCACCCAACAATATTCCACGAGATGCTCACGTCCAAGCTCCTGCCCCCACGCGAGAAGACGGTGTCGCGGCTCGCGCAGGACGGGCAAATCCTGGTGCAGGGCGGCACCCTCACGACGTCGTGGACGCTGTCGCTCGCCGTTTTCCACCTTCTCAACCGGCCATCGACGCTGCGCAGGCTCCGCGACGAGCTCTTCACCGCAATCCCGGACCGCGACGCCGTTGTCCCGCTAGCGGAGCTTGAGAACCTACCGTACCTGAGGGGCGTCGTGAAGGAGTCGCTGAGGCTCGGGTTCGGCACAAGTTCCCGGCTGGCGCGCATTTGTCCGGAGGAGACACTCGTCTACTATGATAAAGCGCGCGGCAGCACGCTGCGAATCCCGCCGGGAACGGCCGTCGGCATGAGCACGTACAAGACGCAGACAGATCCGAGCATCTACTTTGACCCGTTCGGGTTCCATCCGGAGCGCTGGGTCGAAGAGGGCGAGCGGCTGGAGAGGTACTTGACGGTGTTCTGCGGCGGCACGCGCGTCTGTCTCGGCATGGCGCTCGCGCAGGCCGAGCTGTATCTCATGCTTGCGAAATTGTTTCGACGTTGGGGCGGGGGCGGCATCGTGGACGGCAGCGGTGAGGGCGATCTGCGACGTGGAGATGTTGGAGTTCTCAAGATCTTCAAGACAACAGTCAGGGACTGCGAGATGGCGGCGGATTACTTCATCCCCATTCCGTACAAGGTATGTTCTGGACGAAGGGCTGTATTCCGCGATCCGAGTCTCACGTGGCTAATGGCATCCAGGGATCCAAAGGCATCCGCATCGTCTTTGACACCCTTGACAGCGCGGCTGCTTAGGACCGGGCATCCCAATTGTGGATCGTCCAATTGGTGGCGGAGCAGGCCCAATTGGGCTGTGCTGTCTTTGTGAACTAACTCTCCATTGACGGGCTTTTAGGGTTACAATAGTCTGGCGTTTGGCGCCAATGGGGGAGGACAAAGGTCTTGGCTAGCTGCTCATCATCTCCGGGGTCCGAACTGTGAGGTGGTTCGAAATGTTGCGTGCACAGTGTCCCATCTGATGTGAGGTGAGACGAAAAGAAAAAAACTGCGAGTCAATCGGATGTCATACATCGTAATGGCGCATGAGCCAAAAAAAAAAAAAAAAACCCCTCCCAAAAACAAAGATAGAAGCACACTTCGGATCAGGTCTTGTAGGATGCAGAGAAAAGGGAGGATCGAAGCACGGCTCGGCTTACTGAAATAACCTCAGCCAATGGAAACGCAGCCAAAAACGCCGCTGCTGACACTCCGGGGATTCGGCCAAGTCCATAGGCCCCGAAGTCCCGATCCCGTGCATTCGAGGCGGGCGGGCGCCCCCCCTTGTGCCGCCGGCGTTGGGTGCCGTCCGATGTTAGTTCCACTAACCCACTGGCCTGAGTGGCTCTCACCTCAGCGGGCCTCGCGCTGTGGGGCCTGCCCCCCGGCGCAAGCCCCTGACCCTGAAACATCGGACTGGACCGACTGGATCGCAATTCAGGGGACAAGGGGAGTGGGAGAGCACGTTTCTGCGGGAAAAAAAGAGTGACGGCAATGACGGCCGAGGAGCTTGGACGTTCCACGTAGTTCGTTTCTGCTGCGTTGTTCCCCCCTCCATTGTCTTGGTACTTGACTCTTTTTTTTTTGCCTCCTTGTCATCTGTCAGGCGATTTGCTTTAGCCTTTGTCTCTTTTCGTCGTTTTCTTTTTCCATTCTACAGCTTCTCCTTTGCGGGTGCCGTCGTGGTCTTCCACTTTGTAGTTGACCCTCTTCTCTTCATCTCTTACCATCTTCCCCACGCTCATTCTCCCGACCTATTCTTACAACATATCGAAACCCACGGTCTCACTCCCGTGGCCTGATCCCGACCTTGCTCGCGGATCGACGTTTCTTCTCTCGCCAGGAAAACACCCGGTACCTAGCGCAGGCCCGCAACCATGGCAGCAGCAGCAGCAGCGGCGGCCTCGTCGCCCTCGGCGGCAGTCGACCCCTCTACGCGCAAACGCGTCCTCAGAGTCATCGCCATCTCCCTCCTCCTTGACCTGGTAGCCCAATCCCCTCCACTGCCCTCTGCCTCGCGACCTCGGCGCTGACATCCTCCCCACCAGATTTCCTTCACCTTCATCCTCCCCCTCTTCCCGAAGCTCCTCGAGTTCTACCGCGACCGCGAGGTCGGCCCCGCCACCGCCGACGCGACCGGCCCCGCGACCCTCCTGCAGTCCGTTCTCTCGGGCCTGAACCGCTACAAGGCCGCCTTCGCCCGCCCCATCGACTCGCGCTACGACATCGTCCTCCTCGGCGGCGCCCTCGGCTCGCTCTTCAGCCTGCTGCAGGCCGTCGCCTCCCCGCTCATCGGCCACCTCTCGGACCGCCACGGCCGCCGCACCGCCCTGCTGGCCTCCATGTGCGGCAACATCCTCTCCGTGCTCCTGTGGGTCGTCGCCGTCGACTTCCGCACCTTTGTCGCCTCGCGCGTCGTCGGCGGCCTGTCCGAGGGCAACGTCCAGCTCGCGACGGCCATGGCGACGGACATCTCGGACGAGCAGAGCAGAGGGTCCACCATGGCCCTCATCGGCGCCTGCTTCTCCATCGCCTTCACCTTTGGCCCCGGCCTCGGCGCGTGGCTGAGCACCATCACCACCGTCAAGGAGAACCCCTTTGCGACGGCCGCCGGCTTCAGCCTGTTCCTCATCCTGACCGAGACCATCTACCTGTACTTCTGCCTCCCCGAGACCCTCCCCGCGCTGACGGGCAAGGGCCGCGGCGCCGCGGCGAAGAAGGACGAGAAGAAGCCGGCGACGGCGGCGGCCCCGTCCCCACTGCTGCGGACCAACTCGCACTTCCTCCTCAACGCCGTCCACTTTGTGTTCCTGCTCTTCTTCTCCGGCATGGAGTCCTCGCTGTCCTTCATGACGTACGAGCTTTTCGCCTTCGGCTCCTCCAAGAACGGCCGCCTCCTTGGCTTCGTCGGCCTCGTCGCCTCGATCCTGCAGGGCGGCGTCACGCGTCGCCTGCCGCCCCTCCTCTCCGTGCGCGTGGGCGTCGTCGCGTGTCTCGTATCCTTCATCCTGCTCGGCCGCATCACGACCACCTCGGGGCTGTACGCCGCGGCGACGTGCCTGGCCGTCACGTCGGCGACCGTCGTCACGGGCCTGAACGCGCTCAGCAGCTTCGAGGCCGCCGAGGGCGAGCGCGGCGGCAAGCTCGGCATCCTCCGCAGCTGGGGCCAGCTCGGCCGCGGACTGGGACCCATCCTCTTCACGAGCGTGTACTGGTGGGCCGGCCGCGAGGTCGCCTACACCATGGGCGCCACGGGCATGGCCGTCGTGACCGCGGTGGTGTTTGCCGGTCTGAAGGCGCCGCCCGGCTCGTTGAGGAAGAAGGTCCCTGCCGAGAAGAAGGCTGCGTAGAAGGCGTGTAACCTGTGTTTGTAGTAGGGGCGGGTCGTAAAACATATCGTTGGAGTGGTTCTTGTGTTGATATTCCACATGCTGTACATGTTTTTGGTAGGAGGAATGCATAGTTTAGGAGTCTGGTACAGGCTAATGTATTATACTCTAGGAATTATACGGGATATTTGTTGTTCATTTACTTTACCGGTGCTATGAGTGACGCGCTGTTTATATCCTATCCAGAGACAACGAGGGGCTACGAAGCGCTGGGGAAAAGCTGCTGCCACCTACTGCCTGCGATGCGCTGCTTGCTCAATACACTGATGCTCGGACGCGGACATAAAGGATCGTGTCCAAGTAGGCGTCGTCTTGGTTCGTACGATGACACTTGAAGCCATTTCTGTCCCACACAGTACCTGATTCTGTCGAAGCTGGCAAAAGGTATCCGTTCCCTAAGCGCCGTAGCGGTGGATTGTGCTGCTCTCGGTTCTGAAGACTTCGTCACTGGTCTTCCGCAGCGTCGGAGTCGTTGGCCTTCAAAGTTGAGGCCAGATCTTGTGCCGATCTATTCAGCGACCGAGTGGAAACCTTTGAGGTTGTCTTGGCCGCAGGCCGGCATGTGTAAAGCAAGGAGCAGGATGATACAGCGGTGAGCTTACAACGTTACCCTTCGGCTCCTCTCGTGTGTACAAACACTGAATGCACCATAGAGGATGTTACATCATTGTCTACCAAGCAGTACCACGATGCTCCGATATCAAGAAGGATCCCCTGCCCTCCCGGAACTGTGTCGAGGCAAACGATTGTTACTACCGTCGTCAGGCTTTGGGTTACGAAACAGGACTTGCCAATGCTTTTACCGTTCCGTCCAACATCAAGACCGCCCGAAAGCCCTTCCTCCTCAAGCCCTGCTCCTCCCCTGCTTGGCCATCATGAATCCAAATAGAATGCAGACTCACCGCCCGCCTCATACCTTATTCACCCGCCCTGCTCCCAGCTCACACGCCCCTTCCCGTCTTAACGCAGACCACCGCCCCTTCCATCCAACAACAAAGCCAGCAGATCAGATGGTCTAACGGTTCAGCAGCCGGCGTGGAGCAATAGTAGCTTATTGGCCTCCTATTCTGGGTTCAGCCAAAGGTTGCGGGTGCAAGTCCCGTCGTCGGTACACTTTTTTTCTTCACCTTTTTTGGTTTTTTAAATCTCTTGGTCGCTTTGTTTGCAATCTTTGCCATTTCTAGAATGCCTTTCACCGTATTTTCTTCATGGCATTTGATGTGGTTTTCTTCCTTATGGGCTGGGCATGTGTGCGACCCTTTTACGCCAGGGTGAAGGTGAAGGAGGGTCTGACAAACGATAGCTGAGAGGCAGGTACCCGAGCACATGCCTGACTTGGGTTACAAGTGAAGCAGTGGATGTTTTCAGATATTGGATTTCTCCCTGGGCTGTTTTTACGCTTTTCTTGGTTATGGTCACTCCATTGCCCATGACCAGACCGGCACAATGGTTAAGCCTGCGAAAGACCGCTCAGGGGGTATCTCCAGTACCTTGATGTCCATCTTCCACCCGGGAGCAAATCTTCCAAAACAAATAGAGTCCAAGAATCTCACCGTCTGGTACCACGCCTGGGAATCGACGCTCACCGTTGCTGGTAGCAGATTTCATCTTCCGTATAAGCCATTCTCAGTCCGACAACACCGGCAGGAACCGCAGGAAGAAGGTGATTTATGGATGTTTGTTTCCGTCAGATTCTTCTCTGGCCAAAGACGTAGACAGCTCTGCGCCGACGCCGACACATCGTCTTCTTGGCGTCATTCAAACCATAGATCCCTCAAAGAACACTCTTGGTCGCCTTCTGTTCTGGGTTTCGAGTATTCCGGCTTCCCGTCAAGAAGCTGTTCAACTGAATGGAAGGTTGGGCAGAACTCGACTCCGTCTTTCGGAATCCCTGCCCCCCGTGGTCTATGTATCCAAGTGAGACTCTCAACTCGAGCCAAGAAGTGGAAGAGCCTACCTGTATGCTATAGGAAAGAGATGCTCAGACGCGTCGATCCCGGACTCTCCATTGTATACCCCCTGCCAAAGTCCCATGGACACATGTTCCCACACCGAAAAGATATAGCAGTATTACTAAGTTGAGGTTCCCCCTTACAGGATCATACATGCCTCCTCGTTGGAAAAGTAGAACCCGGCTTCACTTCGCCGTCAGTTATACCCCTCTTCTGGTTCAGGTGCTGCTGAAGGCAAGTTTCATTCGGAAAAGAGGCAATGGAAGAGTACTGTCATTTCTCAGTCTCAACGGGAAGCTGAGCTATTGGCTGAGTCACGGCCGACCCGAGGCCACCTCGGATATATTGCACCTCACCCAGGATCGGCAAGTTACACCATAGGCTGTGGCAGACTAGAGATATGCACGGTCTCAAGAGG